CCTACTTTTTCCCAAAAATTTTGCTGTCGAGCGGGGAGGGGGGGGGGGGTATATAGTACGCATGAAACAGGAAAATCACGAAAAGTCAACCACCACTCCTAGAAGGCCAAAAAGTAAATACGACCCCCTCCCAACAATGAGCAAGTACGACCCCCTCCTTTTACAACGTCCGTGAAGCGAGAAAAATCAACTATCAAAATGAATTTTTCTCAGCCCAAATACGACCCCCTGTTGGGGATTCCCCAACAACGATGTGCCCTACTGTAGTGGTGGGGGAGGGAGTTTGTAGCGCACTTGAAATAGGAAAACCGTCAAAAGTCAATGATCGAATGCATTTCTCTCAATGGCTAATACGACCCCCTCCCCAACCACCCATCGCTGGGGAGCCTCAACGTACGACACGCCCTTTCTGCGGGATCCTGTTCTTTCCTAAACGCTGAGTGTATTGGGTATTGTATAGTAATAAATTGACACTATACTTTGGGAGGAATTTCGTTCATTTATGCTTCTCATGTGTACTGTTGACGTTAGAAGCACACTTAGGCCGCGTTCATACACACGGCCTCCGCGGCCTCTGCGGAATTTCCAAATCGATACGTATACTTTGCTTGCTCTGAAAATTCCGCAGAGGCCACGGATGCCGCGGATGCCGTCTGTATGAACGCGGCCTTAGCTTATCGTAGAGCTTTTCTTTTCGTGCCTGTTCAGTGCTAAAAAAGTTAAAGACAATCAGCGCGATTGCATACTGTACATGATGGCGTTCATTTACAAACTTATATTCGCTAAGTGACTCTCCTGGGGAGAAAAAAAAAGAAAGCAGAACACTCTAAGTAAGGAGCCTCTGGACGAGTTCCTCAGTCCTGCTGGTCTTGTGCTAACAAAGGGATATCCTACCGCCTGTGGCTCAGTAATCGTTTCTTCGCCTCGTCGCCTAATGCTAATACTATCTAACAGTGGGGAAAAAATGAAAAACACGGTGTAGAATTTGAACTCGTGACAGAGATTAGCTACTGAGTTTTGGGGATGGGGCAACTTCACAGGGAGGCTTCAGAATTGCCATTTGCGAGGGCCGCAGCGCCTTCCTTACTTGCCATAAGGCCGCGAAACCTGGACAGTCTCAGAGATCGCAGGTCAGACTACTCGAACAACGAAGGACGCCCACGAGTCGGTTGAGCGCGAGGACTGTCTCGCAGTCTGTTTTTAAAGTATCTAATAATTCTTGTGTAGTATTGTATTGTTGTATATTCTGGCAGAGGTGATGGG